AAAAAGAAGAGAACAGAAACCTGCAGAACAGAAGCCTAGGGTGATCCACTGAGGCCTGGCTCATTCATTTAGAGACCTAGGTTCCCCACCAGGAATAAGTAGCTGGGACACTAGACAAGCCATCTCACTACTCTGGGCCCCAAAAGCTGCACGAGAAAAGGATTTTGCAACCTCAGCACTTCTGACATTTTGAGGGAAGAGTTCTTTGCCGTGGGGCTCTCCTGGGTATCGCAGGATGCTTAGCCCCGCCCCGGCCTCTACCCACTAGAAACCTACCTGATCCCAGCCCAAGCTACGGCAACTAGAAACACCCCCAAACGTCCCCCCGGGAGCAAAACTGCCCCCAGCTGAGAACCACAGCCCTAAATGGCCTTCAAGTCTCTTCTTGCTGGAAACCCCCTTTATTTTAGAAGTTGCATCTGACTTCTGTGGTTTCAGGCCCAATGATTCACCAGGAAGTACTGATGGTTTACCGAAGTCTCATCAATATTGCCAGATTCATTAAGTGAACAATGATATGAATGTAAAAAAGAAATAAAACCATGACTTTTAAAGAAAACTTTAGCACAGATAGCAAAACTAAAACAATTCAAGCAGACAGAAGGGTCATTAAAAAACTAATAATAATAGTAACTCTAGCATGTGAGTGTTATGCATTTAGTTAAGACAACGCTGCAGAAATGTTCGGTTGCTTTCCAGTCTGGAAAGAACTTACAGCACTAACAAAGCCAACACGGATCATTTTCTCTGTAATGCCATATTTTTATTAAAAAAAAAGAGCCTAGTGTTCTCTCTTTTTAAGAAATAAAAGGATATCTTACAATCTTTCTAAAAGCGATACTTTACTCTCCTGCACTAACAATATTACAATCTCGTGAAAGGAGACAAATTATCCTTATCTTCACTATCTTTCTTTCTAAATATTGTAATTTTTTTCTTTGCCATTTTATTAACAAGAACTTCCTAATATCTGACACTGCCATACTTCTGAATTAAAATTATTTACGCTCATGTTAATGACTTGCTACTGTAAGATCCTGACATCTTTTGAATTAAAGAATGACAAAAAGGATTCAGCACGGTTTTAGGTTCATGACTTTGTGAAAAATGAGTTCACCCATATACAGAGCCATTTGTCAACCGGAATGCTTAACATCAACACCCTACTCCAGGCACACACGAAGTGTCCAACAAAATGTAAGATACCATTATCATTGGTCATGACCATGCCAGAAAACAGTTTTCTTCCAAATTATCAGTTTGGTTTCACAGCAAGTAAAAAGCACCAAGGATGACAGAGAAAACTATCACACCGTAAAAGAATATTCTGGCCTCTCAAACCTGAAAGCATGCCTCATCAGCATTTTAACATCTGTGTCTTGCCATGTGCTCAAGTCACTCCAGATTGAGTCACCCTACCCTATCGTCTTCCACCAGCAGCTCCCCCTTTAAATGTCTCCTTTGGAACTGCAGGAACCACAGCAGCTATTAGGAAGAGACCCACGCTAGCTGGTGCACACAGCTGTCAAATCCTGGAGCTGGGTTCAACTAGCATAATGTTCTAACAACTCACACCCTTGATAGTCAAAAAAGTGGACGTGGTTCTCCTCCGCAGAGAGAGCTGAGAGGAGGACTCCCGCCATGACACATGTTCCCTGCCAGTGCTTGGAGTTAAGACCCTGGGATTCTAATCCTAGTTCTTTTTTCTACGGTAGTTGGTTCAAGTCCCAACACCTATCCTTGATCTTCTAGAAAACTGAAAGTACTTGCCAGATTTAAAAACCTATGAACCTTTGGATCTTTCTTTAACCAGATCGCACAATTAAACTGATATTTTAAACACACACACACACACACACACTAGGGCCCTTTTAACTGACTTTATGGAGGAAAATGGAGTTAACTTGAATGGCAACTGTAAAACAGGCATTTTCTTTTTTTTTCAGCAGATATCAAATAGATGGAAAGCCAAGTTAGTTATTTTATCTTGTGAGAGGTGGGCTGCCAAAGCATAAATGGAGGGGGCTATTATTACACGGCACAACTCCATTTAACCACCTATGCCTGTGTCTGTAAATAAGACTGCTAGGCAGGAGGAGAGCTTTCTCTAATATTTTCAAAACAAGTAATTATGAAGTGATTAACATGGCCAAGATCACTTCACCAAATCCCTTTGTGGACATCTTTTTCCTGTTGCCTGTTCCCCACACACTCAATCCTGAATCTTCTTAACAAATTAGGATGAAATACACTGTATGAACCTCCAATCACTTCTGATTGGCTTCAGGATTTGAAGTCACTTTGCTAATCCTAGCAGATTTATATCCAACACCTGATGAAATGCACACATGTACACAAATTAGTCCATCACCTAAATGTTCCATCTATCTGGAGGACAAAAAAAACAATTAAAAGGCTAGTCTATTTACTATGATGCATCTCCACATTTGTAAAGAAATACAGCCAAAATGCAGGGGAAAAGGGGAAAAAGGCATGAGAAGGAAAACATATTTCTGCAAACTCTAAAGAGATCTATAAAACTGCAATCTGAGAATTTTATTATTAAGCTAAGCTTCTTAGCACAGAAATCCCCAAAACTCTCCAACTGGGCAACGAATTGAGAATTACGAAAAGCCAAAAATGACTTCCCTCTTTTTCTTTTTTTATCACATACAATATAGAAACCCTTGGTCAATAATGATAATGTGACTTTTGTCAATGCATGTTCAAATCAGAGGATTGGCTGGTGGTGATGTCATACCCAGGGGTTAATCCCCCTTGAATGCAGTTTTAATATGATGGGCATCAATGCATCATTTACATAACAAAGTATTATATTAAGTGTACCAGTAAATGAGCCATGCAGATAAAAGCAACTATTACAGAAAGGCTATGTGCCTCTGAAAAGGGGGGAGTGGAGGGACATAAAGACTTTTTTTTTCTAACTAAATGGAACTAGGTCACCAAACAATACACATCTCTAAAAAGAGCAAGAAATGAATATTGAAATGCAAGTGACCTAGAATATTCTAGGACTAGAAATATGGAAAGGTTGCCTCCAGTGAAAAAATATTCAGTAATTAAGTAGAGATATTTGTAGAGTGTGTGTGTGTGTGTGTGTGTGTGTGTGTGTGTGTGTGTGTGTGTGTGTGTGTGTGAACTTGGTGAAGAAGTAAGAATATTAAAAATAAGTGAATTGGCAGCACTGCTTTTCAGGGAAGGGTAGCTTTCTTATCTTTAACAGGAAAAACTGGCCAAGTGAAATCATGACTGAAATCCTTATAATAAATTTTATTTTAGTGTCAAAAGATAGTTAAATAGTACAGAGGGAAGACAGCAAAGTCATACAAAGCAAAACAATGAGATGGGAGAACTTGGAAAGGAAACCTTGAGAGACAGCCTTCAGCTATGAGAATATTGATCAAGAAACATCCACACAAAAAAGGAAAGCTTTTGGCAGAAGTAATGCCAGCTCACGTGGTCAGTTTGGGAGGCCATAAGTCATCCTTAGTCATAATGTTTCTGAAAACTGCTCTCATGCTGTCTTACTAAGTTCAGTATTTTCAATTCAAAGGAGTGTGGGGCTTGCACGCCGATTTGTGACTACAAACTTAGCAGAAATGCTCCTCACTGTAAAACCCACAGCAAGCTGTTGAAGAATTCTTCCAGTCATACATCTCTTCTCAATGACTGAACGCAAAACACTGACTGTGTTATGAAAGCATGTCCCTAAATTACTTTAGCCTTTTTTAAAAATCCGAGCAGTGCCTGAACCTGGGCGCAGACACACCAAACACCCCATCTCCCTACGCCTCAGGTACTTGCCCCGAGAGAGCAAGTGTGATCCGGAAGCCATTCCCGAGGGCGGGCGAGTCTGGGTGTCTCACGGGTCTGCAGGAAGGGTTTTCGGATTGTTGTGAACAGCCCCACTATCAAGGGTATCAGAGAAGGAACCGGGCCAAGCCTTCCAAAAGGCCATCCCTACACACACCTGGATCGCCTGTCACATCACAGTGACCTTACTGTCTAGGAGGGACGACCACTGAAAAGCTAAAGTGGAAAAGAATACAGGGATTCTGGAGCTTCACCAAGGTGGGGGAGGAGGGACTGGGTCCTTAAATCCTGGGGGAGAGGAGGGGGTGGGCACCACGGGCAGATCTCAGCGAGTCCATGAACCCGCGCTGGGAGCTGATTCACAGCTTGCCTAAGGCTCTGAGAGGGTCCCTGGAGCCCCCAAATGTTAAATGATACTAAGTCAGGAGAAAAATGCACCAGCGACACTGTGTGAGGCTTGCGCTGCCTCGGACTTTCCACTTCCCATCCTCCCCGAGGGGGGGCTCGGGATTACAGTTGCGCTCCCTTCCAGGGGCGGTCGGACTGGGCAAATGAGGCCAGAGAAGGTCTGAAAAGAGAAGTCATGAGGGCACTCCCGCGTGGACAAATCCGAACTTCCAGACCCGCTCCGGGTCTCCGCCCGCGCCAGAAGCCTCGCGCTCCCTGCGGGAAGACGCGTCCCGGGCGCACGCGGAGTCCTTCCACGAGGAGCCCCAACGCCCGGGGTTCGGGTGTCCACTAGCCTGCCCCCTGCGCCTGGCTCCCGTAAGGATCGCGGCTCAAACCCAAGGGACGTAGGCCCAAGGCCGGCTTCCCCAAAGCAAGACCTCACGACGGCTGCGCCCTCCCCCTCCTCACTCCAGTCCCCCAAGAAGCCTCTCGCGCGTCCACGGGGCACCCGCAGCATCTCTTAGTGCTAGACACGAACCCCGACGTTCGAAGCGGCTGCTGCTCAAGGCACACGTCCTCACTTTGGAGCGCAGCTTCCAACTTCGGGGTGCAAGCCAACTACCGCGCGCTCCAGGGCGCCGGAAGTGGGGGCAGCCCGGACCCGAGTCGGTACCAACCCGAGAGGCAGCTGCTGCCCTCCAGAGACTGGGCACGGCTTCCAAAGCCACCCCGGCCCCATTTTCCCGCCTGCCTCTCTTCCTTCCAACCCTTCTTACTCGACTGGAGCCGGCAGCGACGTCGGACCGGCACGCCGGGTGAGGGACGAGCGTTCGCGCAGGAGCCGGGGGACGCTCACTGAGCCGCCTCCCCGCGGGCGCCCGGGCAGCGGCCCATCCCCTCCGCAGGCTCGCCGTGTGAGAAAGTTCCCGCGTCTCCAAAGACAAGCCCGAAGCTGCCGCGCGAGAAGCAGCGGGCGCCGAGGTGGAGGCAGCAACTCCGCGGCTGGGCTCCGGCGGCGGTGGCGCGCGGCCGGGGCGCCCCGTCCAGGGCTGCGCGCAGCAGTGCGGAGCGGAGGGGCGAGCGCCCGGGAGGGCCGGCCCGCCGTGGGCCGCGCTGATTGGCTGGAGCGGCGCCCGCCCGCGCCCCGCCCCCAAGGGTCCACGTGGGCCGGCCCCTCCCACCGCGCACGCGGGTCTCCCGAGCGCCGCGCTGTGGCAGCCGCTCCGCAGGTGCTGGGGAAGGGCATTCTCTCCGGACGAATACCTGGGAGCCGCGCGCAGCCCTGCACAAGGGAAAAGAATTTCGCCATCGAAAACAATCCCCACGCATAGTGTCGCCATCCGAGCACCCAAAGCAGTTTGCAAAAAGGTTTCCTAGCGTCCGTAGCTTAGCACATGCATAACTAATCCGTCTTATGTAACTTACTTGCTTGCATTGGAGAGAAAAAAATCCGCACGCTTTAAGAATTATTAAAGTACAGCTAAGACTCTGACTCCTGCCCCATGCCAAACTTTCATCCCTTCTCCTTTCCCCGCGTGAAGGAACACCAATATTCTGTAATGCTTACATGGTATTCCTTTTACAGATAATACCTCATACGGTCTCCACTGCATAGGTAAGAAAATTGAGGCACAGAGAGATTCCATGATTCCGTGAAGATGACAGTTAATCAGTAGTAACTGTGTGTGACTTGAACCCAGGAAGTCTGCCTGCAGAATCCATGCTCTTTGACATTCAAAGTGCAATCCAGAAAAGGTATTCCCTGAGAGCTTGGAAGGAATGCATACTTTCAGACCCACTCTCAGGATCAGAACCTTCATTTTAACAAGATCCCAGGAGGTTAGTATATGCATAAAGTCTGAGAAGCCCTGCTCTGTGCCACTATGCTTTTCACTGCCATTGGTCAGCCATATAATCTTCTGGCCCGTTTACTCTGCATTGACATAAAATTATGCGTCATCCTGCCCCAGATGCAGTCCAGAGTGTATTTGCTCTTCTCTGAGCCTACAGCTTGAATTAATCTATGGCAGGCTCCCTGTCTCTGTTCCCCACCCCTTGCTCACACACACACATACCCCACACCATATTATTTTGTGTATAATTTAACATTTTCAATCCTTTACTCTTTTATTATCAAAAGTAAGGGCCTGCAGCCAAAGTCAGCCATGTTGCCAAGTTATCACAAGCCTGAAAGGGTATTCAGCCATCAGAGATAGCAGCTTGACCTTTGAGGTGTCCCCCAGTACTGGCACTTTATGCAGGACAAGGGCAAAGCCAAGGAAAACCTGAACTATGTGCCAGGAGATGCCAGAGTTCCTGACCCCATTCATTCATCTGGTCAATGACACTGAGGACCTGCTCTGTGCCAGGCACTGTAACAGTGCTAGAATATACAGAAGTAAACAAAAGAGAAATAATTCCTGCTCCCATGGAGCTTACCTTCCATTTAGGGGAGACAGGCAATTAATACGATGAATAAACAAGATGGTAGAAAGTATGTTACAGAGAAATAAAGTGCAGACAGGGAGATGAGTAGTGGGAGGTGGTAACTTTAAACATAGCTGGCTAGTTCCTCGAAGGTAGTATTTGACAAAAAGACTTGGAAGTCATCTAGAACTCCACTTTCATTCATTCACCAGATATTTATTGATTCCACACTATGTGTCGAGCATGGTTCTGGCCTGGCTCTGTGTGTTCACTTAAGGCCTGCTGTTTTTCACATCTTCAAGCTTCCTTGACGTGTTCTTGTCCTGGTGGGGGAAACAATGTAAGCAATGTCAGGTGGCTCAACCTAAAACCATATTCTCCCATTCTGGATGTTCAGTATTGTTAGGGGTTTTACCTGTGTCCCCAAAGTTCAGGTATTGATATCCTAACCCTGGTACCTGGGAATGTGACCTTACCTGGAGATAAGGTTTTAAGGAGGCAGTCAGGTTAAAACAAGGTCATTCGGTGGGCCCTAATGCAGTGTGACTGGTGTCCTTATAAAAAGGAGAAATTTGGAGGCAAACACAGTGAGAACCCCATGTGAAGTGGAAGGAAGAGGTCCGTGCAATGCTTCCACAAGGCAAGAAAGGCCCAAGATTGCAGACACACCAGAGAAGAGGAAAGAGGCTTGGAGGAGATTCTCTCTCTCAGCCCTCAGAAGGAATCAAGCTTACTAACCTCTTGATCTTAGAGGTCCAGCCTCCAGAACCAGGAGACAATAAATTTCTGTTGTTTAGGTCACCCAGAATGTGGCGCTTTGTTGCAGCTGCCCAGAAAACTAATAGACATACGTGTCAAGGCATCAAATGGTACAACTAAGTGGCTCATCTATACATTTCCAATGATCTGATGTCTTGGGTGCAACAGCAAGAAGCCTAAATGATCTGATGATTCGAGATTCACTAACCAAATCACCACAAGGCAAGTTATGGAAAAAATAATAAATAAATAAAACCCAAATGTACCCCAAATATTCTATTATTTCTTCATTGGCCATTTATGAAGTGTCCACTGTGTGCCAGGTTCTGGGATATGATGCCAAACAGGGCAGGTGACTTGTCGGTGCTGTTATGAGGGGACTTAGACAATAAGCAAATCAACAAATACATGAGCAAGGTCATTTCAAAGCGGAACAAGTGCCTCAAAGACAAAGGCCAGAGGATTGAAAGGATGGCGGATGGGTTTATAGATCGGCTGCCCAGGGAACATCCTTCTGAGGTGGTGCCCTCTGAGCCAAGACCTCAATGACAACAAGCCAATCCAAGCAAAGATCTGGCAAAAACTGTTCCAAGCAGAGATAACAATTTCTCTCGTAAGAAAATATCCCTGCCATTCATTCCAGAACATCCTTCCTTCCTGTCTTGGCCACCCATTTCACATCCTTTGAGGTCATATAAAATCAATCACTGTCTGTTTCATAAAAATGGGGTCCAATTATTCATCTCCTCACATAAGAATCTATGATGGTCGTGCCAACAGAGTTTTGCACACACACCCAGTTGCAAGAAAAAAAAACCCTTGATGTGCTTCTGTATTTGCGGATAGTGACCTCACATGACTTGGACATCGTGTTTATTTTTCTCATTTATAGAACATCCAGAACACTACTGGGCATGTCCTGGTGCTTAATCGATACACTGATGACAGACTGTGCCTGGGAAGGAACTCTCCAACTCTCCTGGGCCTACTTACAAAATCCTGTTATCAAGTGAACCTTCAGTTTTAAAATGCTGCAACGCTCTGCCCTTTGAATGTAATTTTTACGTAGGAGACTAGTAAGAACAACAGTTAACATTAATTGTGGGCTGATGTGTGGCTCACTCCACTAAGTGAATCACATGGATTATCCTCATAACATACAAGGTAAATTCTTATTTATAACATCCATTTCACAGATGAGAAAACGGGGGCCCAAAAGAGGTTAAGTAATATGCCCACTGTTCAAACACAACTCAATCCAGACTTACGCCTTGAGCCCATCTCTTTAACTACAAAGCTTATACGAGGGAGGGCAAGCAGAAAGCAAAAAGCATTTTTGTCTATTCCTTTGCGTTTGTCTTTGAAATTTTCAAAGCACTATTTTATAACTTTTTTTTTTATTTACTCCAGCTCTCTAGCTTTCAACCTCACTTTTCCAGCCAGATATTTGCTTTGCCTTCCCTTGCTTCAAACTGGCAACGGCAAGAACTTTAATAAATAAAATGACTGATATATTTTTTGTTCTCAGCCTGTCTGCTTCTCAGCATCCTCTGAGGAAATGTGACTCAGGGTTCTTAGAGCTCAGCCTACTTTGACATACATCCTTCTCTCATACGTGACAACCTCCCGGTGCAAAGAGGGTCCTCCGCTTCACTCAAATAGTGGGGAACCTCACGGCCCTGCCAGACGAAATGCCATGCATGATGCCCAATGCCAGCGCTGGCCCTCTTCATACAGATAGGCTCCCGCCTGAGAGTGAACATCTAAAAATGGCTTAGTTGGTCTTTGTGAATCACTTTCTAATCTCGTGGTTTCCCCACGGTCCTGGTCAGAGAGAAAGCCCAGGGAGCTTGCAATGGTGAAAAGATGTGAGGTATTTCTCATTGGATCCTGGATTCCCCCACCTCACTTAGGAAGTGGGCAGGCATTTTAGCTGTTAAAGGATTTCCTGCCTGGGATGGCTGGCCAGGTTCGCTTTAAACTTCAGGAACTCAGACAAGGTGTCTGGCTGTTTGCTTCAGCAGGCTCAGGTGGGTTTCATTATCCTTTCCTGTGCTGACCACAACCGCTTCAATAATTTATGCCCTGGAAAAGATCAGCATTTCAGGGCAAATTAGCATAAGAAGGATTTATGAAACCACAGTAGGAGGGCATTTTTAGAGATCAAACAGGCACTACCAAACAGAGCAATACAAGCTAGTTCCAAGTAGGACCAGCCTAAGGCAGAATCATCAAAGAAATAGTGCTCTTGTGGGTATGCTTTCTTCTGCTCATCCCTTCCACCCAACCTCTACCAATGTGGTCATACTGCCCCCAGTTACACAGAAGGTTGCTGCTGTCATTCATTTTATTCATTCTTTCATTGATTCTCTCCCTAATTCATTTAAAATTTTTGTTGAAGAGATTTTTGCACATCCACGTTCCTAGTAGCATCATACGCAGCAGCCAGAAGGTAAAAGCAACCCAAGGGTCCTTGAATGAATAAACAACACGTGGTATAGCCACACAATGTAGTATTAGCCAGCCTTTAAAGGGAAGCAAATTCTGAAACACTACAAGGATGAACCCTGGAGACACTATGCTAAGTGAAATTAGCCTGTCACAAAAAGATGAATCCTCTGGCATGAGGGACCTCCTACAGGCATGAGCCAAATTCCTACAGACAGAAGTAGAACGGTGGCTGCCAGAGAATGGAGGGGAGGCGAGACCGGGCTGCCAGTGTTTAATGGGTACAGCGTCCCAATTTTTCAAAATGAGAAGAGTTCAGGAGACTGACCGGCAGTGATGTGGCACAAGAATGTGTGTGACACCACGAACTGCATCCTCAAAAATGGGTATGATGGTAAATTTCACAGTGTGTATATTTTACCACAGTTGTTAAAGATTTCAA